GTTGCCCAGGCTAGAGTGAGGCGTAGGGGTCAGGGCAGCTGGGCTTCAGGATGCCGGTCAGTACTCACCAAGATAGCGGTAAGGAAATCAATCTCATGCCCACCATGCGAGTCTGCTTTAGTTTTTTGTATATAAATATTATTTGTATGCTTGAGATCAATTATTTGCTATCATATGTTTTTTTTTAGTAGGAGACGGGGTCTCGCTCAGGATGGTTTCGAAACTCCAACCTCGAGGCCGGCAATCGCCCGCCTCGGCCTCCCCAGAGTTGCTAGGTATTACGGGTGAGCACCCGCGACCCGGGCCTCTTTTTGTTTTATTTGAGACAGTCTCACTGGCTTAGAGTGGAGTGCCCGTGCATCAGCTAGCTCACAGCACTTCAAATTCATGGGCTCAAGCAGCCTGCAGCCGCTGAGGTAGCTGGACTACAGGCAGCGCACCATTGCCCGGGCTATTTTGTGGATATGTGGCCAATTAATGTCCATTGTTGGTAGGGACAGGTCAGCTTGAAGAAGTGCGAGGAGGCCGCACGGGCGTTGAAGGAAGTGGTGGATCTGAGGTTTGCAGGAGGAGGGTGTGGAGGAGAGAGGGGAATCAAGGATGACTCTTAGCTTGGGCAACTGGAAGGAAGGGCTTGCAACTTACTGGGGGTGGGGCGGGAGGAGCGAGTGTGAGGGAGCTTCTGGAGGTGAGTGTGAGACGCCTGTCACACACTGCAGTGCCACTGGGTGCAGGCAGGGGATTCAGGAGTCTGAATTTAGGGGAGAGAGATGTATTTAGTTGTATTTATTTATTTAGATTTAGTGGGCCAGAGATGTGTGTGGTATAGACGGGATTTAAAGTCATGATGTAATACAGTGGTCCCCCCTCCTCCCTTAGATATGGATGCGTAAAATTGAGAGTAACAAGGAATGGCCTGGAAAGAAAAAAAAGTGGCAAGAATGTTTTCTGTCTCTTTGAAGCTTTCCCCACTCTTTCTGAGTACTGAAGCCCACATCCCTGCCTCTGGCCAGTGGTAGGGAGGAGCGGGCAGAGGGGACCCTTTCTTCTCATCCCAGGTCGGGGCTGGCTGAGTTCACAGGCTTTGTCTCTGGCAGAGATGTGAGAATTAGAACAGTTAGCCACAGTAATTGCCTGAAGCTGAGATCCCATCCTTTAAAAGCTGTGTATTTCTGCTTATGCTCAGGAAATTTGGATTTTGAGACAAGAAAGTCTGCCATTTTTCCTCCTTTGCCAGCAAAGTAAATCTCTTTCCTCCTCCCCAAAACATTTGTCCTCCTTCTTCTGATTTGGCCTTGTGGACAAGTGCCGAGTTTTTGGTAAGGATGAGACAGAATGAGACCTAGAGAGTCCAAGCACTGCTGGGGGCTTCTCCAAAGCTGTGAGAGGAGGGCAGGGAGGCTGAGCGGTGGCCTGGGAGGAGGGAAAATAGAAGCAAGGGAGAAGCGTTTCCAGAAGGGAGGGGTGTCATGTCTATTCAATACTCATGCCTGTAATCCTAGCACTCTGGGAGGCCGAGGCGGGCAGATTGCTCGAGGTTAGGAGTTCAAAACCAGCCTGAGCGAGACCCTGTCTCTACTAAAAATATAAAGAAATTAATTGACCAACTAAAAATATATATACAAAAAAAATTAGCTGGGCATGGTGGCGCATGCCTGTAGTCCCAGCTACTCGGGAGGCTGAGGCCGTAGGATCACTTGAGCTCAGGAGACTGAGGTTGCTGTGAGCGAGGCTGATGCCACGGCACTCACTCTAGCCTGGGCAACAACAAAGTGAGACTCTGTCTCAAAAAAAAAAAATACTGTTGAGAGGTCAAGGAAGATGAGTTCTGATAATGGAATACTGCATTTATCAACTTGAAAAGTATTAGTGACCTTGATAAATTAGTGGTAGAATGAAAAAATAAAATGGGATGGGTTCAAAGGAGAATGGGAGGAGGGGAGAGGGTGTATGTATTTATTTATTTAAGAGGCTAGGTTTTGCTGTGTCACCCAGGCTGGAATGCAGTGGCAGGAACACAGCTCACTGCAAACTCCTGGCCTCAAGGCGATCCTCCTGCCTCAGCTTCCCAAAGTGCTGGGATAACAGGTGTGAGCCTAGCCAGAAGGAGTGTTTATGAATAGGTCTTTTGAGAAGTTTTGCTGAAAAAAGGATAGAAATGGCCCAGTAGCTTGAGGCTTGACGGAAAAGCAGAAAACAACCTAAGATGGGAAAGTGAGAGACAGTGAACCAGGAGTGATCAGTGTAAACTCCACAGCACCGTGGCTAAAATAATTCACCAGGTTTTTACTAAGGGACTCTCATAGCCTGGCCACCCCCACTGCTATCCTTGAAAACAAGGCAACAGCATAAATAATTGTCCGTACCACCATTTTGTCTCTACAGAATATCCTGGATTGAGCTGTTACTACCTTTCCTAGGTCCTCTGCAGTATCCACACCCTTTTCCATAAGGGATATTGTTCCCCATGACATTTTTGCCCCCCTCTGGAAGGGATCAGGCTATTTAATCCTAAACCACTCAGCCCATCCCTCCAGTCTAGGAATTTCTCTAGTCCAGTGTGTGGCTGAGTCAGGCTGTTTGTGTCCCTGATTTGGATCCCAATCAGCCAATCAGATTTTGAATTTTTTTTTTTTTTTTTAAGACACAAGATCCCCGGGTCTCCCAGGCTGGAGTGCAATGCCTGATTGTAGCATACTACAACCTGGAACTCCTGGGCCCAAAGGATCCTCCCAGGTCAGCTTCCCAGGTAGTTGGGACAACAGGCACAAGTCACCACACCTGACAGACGTTGAACTTTTTGAAGAACAGAATGTTCTTTTTTTTTTTTTTTGAGACAGAGTCTCACTTTGTTGCCCAGGCTAGAGTGAGTGCCGTGGCGTCAGCCTAGCTCACAGCAACCTCCAACTCCTGGGCTTAAGCAATCCTGCTGCCTCAGCCTCTCGAGTAGCTGGGACTACAGGCATGTGCCACCATGCCCGGCTAATTTTTTCTACATATGTTAGTTGGCCAATTAATTTCTTTCTATTTATAGTAGAGACTGGGTCTTGCTCTTGCTCAGGCTGGTTTTGAACTCCTGACCTTGAGCAATCCGCCCACCTCGGCCTCCCAGAGTGCTAGGATTACAGAGGTGAGCCACCACGCTCAGCCATCACCTTTTTTTTTTAACAGAAAAGGAAACTGCCTTGCCTAAGGCTCCACAACTGTCATTGCTTCCTCGCACCTCAACCTTACTGGGACAACGTGGTGTATGGGTAGGCTTGGTGGCCAGGATGGGACAAGGAAACTCTGTAATACAGCCACGAAGCTACAGAGACCTGATTAGGGCTACCCCTCTGCTCCTAGGAGTTTTAGATCACGCTGTGGGCTCCCTCTGCGGTCCAGTTCCTTTAGAGCTACCCCGCTGAGTATAAACAGGTTGTCCAAATTGCACTGGAGAGCTTGAGTGCTGTGGGTTTTATTTACTCATTTTTAATCTGAGTAGACACATCTATGCTCACTGTAGAAAATGTGGGAAAAGTCAAACTGCATAGGCGGTTAAAACGCTCTCCGTAATTCCAGCAGCCAGGAGTGACCGCCTCTCCCCTCCCTCTTTGCTGTTTTTGGTGGATTCCGTGACCCGGACTTGGCCTGGACTCCCCTGCAGGGCGTGGCGAGCGCGGGCAAAAAAAACCGCAACCTCCCCGCCCGCCCCTGCGGCACATGCACGGCAGGCTGAGGCTGGCGCTGGCCGGGAAACCGGTGTGGACGGTGCAGACAGACGCCCCCTCCCTCCCCGGCTCGTGCCGCGCGGCCGCGGCCGAGGTCCCGTCCCGCCGGCCGGCCGCGGGCACCCCAGCCGCGGCACAACAGACCTTCCTCTACAGGAACTCGCCTCCATTTTCCGCTATGGCCGACCTCAGAGGCGGCGGTGGGGGCGGGCGTCGGGCGTGCCGGCCGGGCGCCCGGCAGGGCCTTCCGCGTTGACCTCAGCGGCCGCCCAGGCCCGGCGGGCAGCGAATCGCGGGCGCGGGCGGCGGCAACGCCCCGCACTAGAGTCGGCCGCCGCGCGGGAGGGCCGGCAGCCGCGTCCGCCAGGCTCCGCGACTTGGGCCGCACCGGGGCCGGCCGCTGCCTTCGCGGCCCACGGGCCTTCACCGCGCCGGCGCCGCCCAACCGCCGCGGAACCTTCTGGAAACGGCGCCCCTGCGCGACCCACGCCGCCGCCAGCGCAGGACGCCCGCGAGAGACGCCGGCTGCCCTGGCGGCCCCTGGAGCGGGCCGGGGGGCGGGGCCTGCGCGGGGGCGGGGCCCGCGCGGGGAGGCTGCGTTCGATTCGCCCCCGGCACGCAGGCCCCGCCTCTCCGGCTCCGCGGCTCCGCCTCCGTCCTCCCCCTCCATGGCGCCGCCCCGGCTCATTCATTCCGCGCCGGGCCTGCCGGACACCTGCGCTCTCCCGCTGCCGCCCGCCGTCGCCGCAGCCGCCGCCAGCATGTCGGTCCCCGCCTCCGAGACGCCGTCCGCCATCCAGATCTGCCGGTAAGAGAGGGGCCTTCGCGACGCGGGCGGCAGCCGGCATCGCCCGACCGACGCCCTGGGCCTGCCCCACCCGCCGCGCGGTCCCCGCCCGCAGCATCCGCCCGCGTTCGGCCCCATCCGCCGGTGCCGAGAGGGGCGGGGCGGGGCGGGGTTCGCGCCTCCGCTCCATGGGCCGCCGAGCGCAAACCCGGTGATTGCCCAGAAGCGGGGCTGCCGCCGCGGACTCCCTCGCGCCGGCTCCGGGGCCGCATCTCTGCCGCGGCGGCCCGCGGCGGCGCGGGCCGTTTCGGGCGGCGCGCCGGCCGGGTTCGGGTGTTCGGCGGCCGGCGGGTCGGCTGACAGCCCCCAGCGCCCGCGGGCTCGCCCCGCCCCCTGCCCGCGAGCCTCGGAGCTCCGGCCCGGCCCCCCGCCTCGCCCTCTGGAAAGGTTCGGGTCGTTTACCCGCAGGCGTCCGGCGGGTTTTGTGCCGGAGCCAAGCCAAGCCCCAGAGGTGGAGGGCGGATACCCAGAGCCGCGCGCGCCATCGGTGGGAGGGGGCTGGGCTCTGTTGTCCCCTCAGTGCGCTGCTTAGGCTCTGGAGAGCAGGCACTACAAGGAGAACGGATTAGACTCTTGGCCTCAGTTTGCTGCTAAGAAAAGGGAGTGAGTGGTCCTTTGGGCCTGAAAGCATCTCGCACAATAGGGACGAAGGGTTGTTCTCTAAGCGAGCCCCCCACCCCTGCGTCCTTCCTCTGGCGGGCGCTGACCTAGGAGACAGATGTAGGCCCTCAGAGGAAGCTGGAGATCCTGAACTAGCTCAATTTCCCATAGGAGGTGGGAGGGCGGCCTCAAGGTTACTCTGCAGTTCCCTTCAGCACAATCGGAAGCTGAGGCAAGCTGGCATTTGGGGAAGGAGGCTGGGCCTTTAGCCTGTGCCTGCACAGGCACCGGGGCCTGCAGCTGGTCCTGTCCTGCTTGATGGACCACCGAGAGTGAGAGTTGCTTTCTATTTTGGGGGTGGGTTCCTCAAGCCTGGAAGTCAGGCATCACACTGACCTTGAGTCCAGGCCAAGTACAACAGAGGCAAGTGACCTCCCTGTGGATGTTGACATCTCCCTGGAAGGCTGGGCATATAGTAAGTGCTGGATAAATGAAGCTCTTTGACCCCCAGCTCTGTCTTCTGGCCTGGTGCAGGGCCTTTCCTATTCTCAAGGTCAGTTTTGACTTTTCCAGAGAGGGGGAATCTTTTGGGGAGCCTGGCTCCATTTGCTTTGCTATTGGCTGTGTGGATGCCGCGGCCCCACCCACTCTGGAGTTCTCTGGGACAAAGATGATAGAAGTCACTGATGTTTGGAGACAAATGGCCTGGACCAATCAGGTCCTTGAATCAGCTCTGCAGAGAATTGGCTGGGGGACCTTGGGCTTCACTGCTGTACCTGCCTTATCTCACTTGCTTTGCCCAAATAGTAAGGACCTCCACCCCACCTGTGTGGAGGAGGAAGTTGGGGGTTCCAGGAGACTTAGTAACTATAAGGTCATCCTGCCCTAAGAGCACCAGGGGCCGATTCCAGATTCAGTGTTCTTCCCACCATACTCCTGAATAAAAAAAATATTGATTTAAATCTACCATGGAAGGCTGGGCTTTTATTTACCTCTTCAGGATGATGAATAGCCAGTCTGTATGTATTGTCTTTTTTCAACCAGCTTTTTAACAGTTAATAGATTTTTGTATAGCTTTAGATACTTCCATCCATTCTCAGGCATGTATGTGCGCTTTTCTTTTCTTTTTATTTTATTTTTTATTTTGTTTTTATTATTTTTTTAAGCCAAGGACTGAATGGGATATGTGTGCTATTTCTCACCCACTGTACCAACTGGGCTGCTTCTTGCTGTCTCAGATTCACAATTACATATTGTCTTTAAGTGGCTGCTTTGGCGGTGGGACTCCTGAGCAGGGTGCCTGGCTGAGGTGAGCCTCAGGTGCAGAGCGTGACTGCCAAGGGGGGCGCTCTGAAGAGGGCGGTGGTGATATGGGCCTGATCTGAAACCCCAGGACGCTGGAGAGTGGTTATACCAGGATGGGGAGCCCTTTAAGGACACCTGAGCTGATACCCTGAAAGAGGTCCTTGAAAGAGGAGCCTCCTGGCCTAGCACAGCCAAGCCCATGAATTTAACAAGGAAGGCCTCACGGGACACCACTGAGAAGCAGAGCACCAGGTGGGAAACCAAGGCATGGAAAATTCAGGCCCTGCCTTCAGGGGTCGCCATCCTAGGCAATTAGAGTGTCACATGGTCTCAGTTCTGACACTGTTGAAGGAATTAGGGCTTTAAAGGCAGGCGAGGGTGGTGGTCAGAGGCACCTCTGTAGGCCTAGGCCCAGGGGCATATTGGGCCCCTGCCCCTTGCTAGCTGTGTGACCTGAAGCACACTGCTTAACCTTTCTGTGTCCCCCTTTTCTCATGGTTTGCTTTGAGGTTAAATAAAAGAAAATGTAGCTAGTGGCTGGCACATTGTAAGTCAGTGGAAGCTCTTTTTATCTGAAAAATGGGGTGCAGGCTCAGGCTTATGGCTCGTATCCCAGCTCTTCCTCTAGCAGGTGGTGTGAGGCTATAGGCACATTCCTTAACCTTGCTTGACCTCAGTTTTCTTATCTGTAAGATGGAGATAGTAATAGTGCCTGTCTTAGGGTTGTGAGGATTAATACCATTAGCCAAGTTCCAGGCACATCAACTCACAGAAAGAACCGTTCTCCTTTGGGAGCCCCACCTTACGACAGCCAGTTAGGCCACTATGGAGTGTTATTAGAGATGCAGGTTCTGGGACAGCCTTTAAAGTCTCAGAAGAGCATTTTTCTTTTTCTTTTTTTTTTCTATAAGGACAATTCTTGTGGCAGAATCAGAAGACCATTTTTCCTTTGTTTTATTTTGAGTAATGTTAACCTTTAGTTAGTGAATTACTTTTTACTTGTTGGACTCAGTTCTAGAATGTGAAACCTGTAGCATTGTAGGGCAGTGCTGTCCACCGTGACTTTCTGAAGTAGTGGAAATGTGCTGGGTCTGTTGCTGTCCAGTGTGATAGCCACTAGCCACACATGGGGTTATTGAAAGGTGGACAGGCCATGGAGGAACTGAATTAAAAAAATTTTTTTTTTGTAGAGACAGGGGTCTTGCAATGTTGTCCAGTCTGATGCCAACTCCTGGCCTCATGTGATCCCCTCGGCCTCCGGCCTTCGAATTACTGGGATTATAGGTGTGAGCCATCACACCTGTCTGGAACTGAATTTTTAATTGTGTCAATTTTAGTTGATTTAAATGCAAATGTAGCTAGCCACCTGTGGCTGGTGAATTCCTTATGGGTGGTGAAATATGTAGAGGAATTTAAAAACCAGAATTTACTAGTAGTCCTGGGGTGGGGTGGGGTTCCTAAAGGAGCATGCTAAAAGACCTTGGGGTGCACACTGCTCAGCAGGCAGGTAACTTGGAATCTTTCATTTGTAGAGAGGTGTGTGAGATCTGTTAGTACAAGGTATGTTTTTTTTTTAATAAATTAATTTTTTTGCTTGCCACACTCTATCAGGAAGTCTCCTTGGATCACTGGTTGCTTGTGCCTATGGTACCCTGACTGCCTGTAGTCGTGCCTTGTGTCTAGGAGATATGCCAGTCAACACTAGTTGATTGGATGTGAATTTTAGTATGTTACAGGATTGGAATCTTTTACAGGTGGGGCTCTGTCTTTGGTTTTACAATGGGATTAATGAAAATGGAATCTGATTTATAGAAACCACACTCAGAACTAGTATTCTGGAACATTCCATAAAGTGATGCACAGTGCTGGCCGCCTTCCTGCCGGAATGTGGGGACCCTGGTGAAGATGCAGTCTCTGTAGGCCAGAGGGCCTGTTCGTGGGGAGACCTTTGTCCACCACATTCGGCTTCACCCTGTAAGTGGGCCAGGCAGCCTGGCACCACCTTGCAGTTGGCACCTGCAACTGACCAGCTCCTGGTTCCAGTCAGGCCAGATAGGCCAGACGTTGCATCCTCTGTGGGACCTACCTGCCCTGTGGGACCCACACCAGGGGTGACCGCACGGGCTGTCAGGGCCTCCCATCCCACTGGGCTGCTTTACTCTAGAGGTAACCTGGGCAGGGGGATAGGTCATAGGGCCCCCTGTGCTTGGACTCCCTATGTCTGAATAACTGGGGAAGTTTGTTACAAATGCAGATTTTCTCCATGTAAATAATACTTTAGTAGAGTCAACGAGATGCAGATTTTAAGAGATAATGGGGAAACTTGAATTCTCCCTTGGTAATAATATTAAGGAATAACTACTTTCTTTTATTTTAGGTTGAGATAATTATATTGTAGTTTTTTTTTTTTAAAACAAGTTTGTTGAGGTGTAATGCACATACAGTAAATGCACCTATTTTAAAATGCGTACGTGTACCTGTGTAATGACCAACCCCGTTGTGATGTGGGTTATTTCCTTCACCCCAGAAAGTTTCCTTCTACCCCTTCACAGTCATTTCCCACCCTGACCCCTGGTTCCTGGCCAACAGATCTGCACTAGTTTTACCTTTTCTAGAATTTCACTGAGATAGACTCATATCTAGCACAAAGCCTGCGAGCCTCAGCCCGTGTGGCGTTGGCGCATCCTGCCTCCCTGTTGCCTGGTATTCTGCGGCCTCCACATCAAGGTTTCTCTCTTCAACAGCCATGAACATTTGGGTTCTTCTCAGCTTTTGGTGCATATTAAAGAAATTCACAAATGCAGATTTCGATACACTTAATTAGGACTTAATCAAGGAAACATGAATAGTCATGTTTCATAATAATTCAATACCTTGATTTAGGACTTAATCAAGGAAACATGAATAGTCACTTGATATTTAATGATATTAAAGAATTTGTATTATATTTTAGGTGGGATCCTTGCTTATAGTCCCAGCTTTTTGGGAGGCCAAGGCAGGAGGATCACTTGAGCCCAAGAGTTTGAGACCATCCTGGGCAACATAACTAGACCCTG